GTTGGGCTACTTCCTTGAACATTACTGTTTTGGGCCTTAGTGGGCCATATAAAATCGAACGTTTGGACTAGGGAACATTATTGGGCCTTGGGCTAAGGATTATGTGAAGGGATTCGGCCCAATTGGAAATTGGGCCATATTTTAGGCCTTGATGGATTGTTTAACTTTCAGGCCCATTGGATTGTGGTAATGTCCTTCATTCTGGGACCAAGCTAGGTTAGAGGTAAAATGGTCTCTTACCTCAAGTATGGATTTTTGGTTATGATGTAGATCCGAAATGTTAATTAGTTTTTATTTGGCAATTGATAGCTCGGGGAGGTGTAGGACCAACAGTCGGGGATCATTCGTTTCATTCAGCTTTTCGAGGTGAGTTTCCTCACTGGGTTTAGCGCGTCTAAGGCACCAAGGCCGACCCTTGATTGGTTATGTTGATATACTCGTTGTCTGTGTGATACTTGTATGTGCTTGTATATGTATGTTTATTAGGCGGGGCATGCTATGCGAGTATGGCATGGCCCGTATCTCATTGGGTGTGGCCCGTTATGCGAGCGTGGCGGGGCCCATATCTCATTGGGCGAGGCTCGTTATGCGAGTGTGGGCGGGGCCCCTTATATGATATATTTTGTATGCGGTATCTTGGGGAACTCACTAAGCTTTGTGCTTACGGTTTTTAATTTATGTTTCAGATACTTCCGGTTCCAAGGGGAAGAGCTCAGGTTGACTGAATCGCACACACCATATGGGTTCTGTTTATGGGACATACACTGATTTTCATGATGTTTGACATATTTATTTGATTGGGATGTATGAACAATGTTTTGGAATATTGTTTTTACTTAAATCAAAAATAAAAAAATTGGGTCATAATTTTGGATGTTTCAATTCTGTATGCTATTATCTGGTTATGTGTATATGATTTATATGTGTGCGGGACCTGTTATACGAGTTTGGGTGGGGCCCGTTATACTCAGTGGGCGGGGCCCGATGATTCTATGGTATGCTATTATCTTTGTGATTTTTTCATGTGTTTATATGTTATATAATTATCTGCTATGTGTATATGTTATGCGAGTGTGGGCGGGGCCCGTATCTCAGAGGTCGGGGCCCATTATAATCATTGGGCGGGGCCCGTTATATGCTATGTATGTATGGTATGAGGTCGGGAAAAAGAATGTTGAATAATGAGATTGATTATAATCCATGTCTCATGTTCATAGAGATATCTTGAACGAAGGAATAATTGATTACTTGTCTAAGGACTATGTTTTGATTCATATCAGAGTTTGGCAACTGCATTTGATGACTAGTCTCTGCTGATTTTTAGTTAAATATTTGATCTTAAAAGTTAACGACTTGTCCAAGTAGGTGACAATTGGAAATAGTGTCCAATTTCATTAACTGTTAAGTAGTATTTCTAATAATAGCAGGGTCCCATAATCTTACCTAGTTACTTTTGACTAAAAACATATCGAACTAAAATCCTTAATTTATGCAAGAAAACCGAGATATCACCTTTCCAGTTTTACCATTTGCTTCAAGGAAAAAATCAAGGGCTTTAATCACTTAATACAACATTACCAACATCCAAACGGGCCTAAACCCTATTCCTTTAAAGACCGAAACCATCACTTGATCAAATTCCGGCCCCATATCCCGAAATTAGAACATCACTAAAACTAGGTGTTACAAAATATTTATAAACGATGACTATAAGTAAACATTTATTATTCTATTGGAAAAAACACACCACTATAAGTTATCAATAATCATAATAAAAGAAATAACACATTAGTAAAGATCATTTTTGATGAAGGGTTGAATTTTTATTTGTAAGTGTATGTAAACAATAGTAATCATAAACCACTAAACATGTTAGTAAAGATAGCTTATGCTGACAATTTAATTACATTTTTGTCTCTAAAAGTCAACAATGCTTCCGATAATATTTATAAACTGTAACTATAAGTAAATATTTACCACTCTATAGGAAAAAAAACACATAACTATAGGTGTATTATGAATGACGATTATCTTAATAAGATATACTTCCTCTGTCCCAAAATTATTGTCCACAGACAAAAAACACACAGATTAAGGAAACATTAATTACCACTAACTTTATACAATAAAATGACAGTTTTGTTCTTACTTTGCATTTAATGTTCCATTAAATGCTTAGTTGGTTAAGTAATAATGAGGGGGTATTTTGGTAAAAATGTTATTTATTTTTAGAAGTGGACTATTATTTTGGGACAAACCAAAAAGGAAAGATGGACTATAAGACGGAGATAGTATATATCTCTAAAAATACCCTACCATATAAAGACGGTTTTGACCTACAATAACAGGTGTTCATGGGTTATACTCACTATAATTGAACGAAAGCATAACTTATCTTCAATAATGCGACCTTTCCTCTCATGTTGAATGAAAAAAAGGATAATCACTTAGAAGGGTAAATTATTTTTTGATTTGTAAATATTTAGTCGCTGAGTTTTTTTGTTTATATATTCCCATTGAACTTGTTGAACCATTCAAAAAAATATTCTTATGACCTTCAATAATTGGTTTAGCCAGTTTCCAGCGTGTTTGACAACTTCGACGATGCTTCGGTCATCTTCTATGGCAAGACTCTGACTTTCATGATTTTTCTGGCGGTACGAAATGGTGTTCATAAAAGAAATCGAGCTTTGGGATTTTTGGGTTTCAGTTTAATAAAACACACTAATTTTGGTACATCGATTTTGAAATCGGAGTGTTGTTTCAGATCTCTGATGTTTATCGTCGTCAACCTCCAACCCATATCTAATGTTCATCGTTCAATCCATATCTAATGCTCGAAGATGCCCTTGAAAACCCTAAGACTTGGTGTGTTCGTCAATTTTTTGAGGGTGTTCATCTTCATCATGTTCATCTTTTTTCCCAAAAACCAAACGAGCTCCAGAAGTGTGTGTGTGTGTGTGTGTATGTGTTTATGCAGGAACATCAGATCTGAAATCAAATGATCTCCAAGAACAAAGAAGAAATCAACTTTGTGTGTTTTAGGTTCATTGAAGACGAACTTGAGTTAGGGTTTTCAAACCCAGAAATCAATCATGAAGATATGGGTTCGTGTTTCGATCTAGGTCCATGTTCTTCATGTTTTGATCTAACACATACACACACACACACACACTCAAATCTGAAGCTCTTGTGTTCTTCATGTTGTTTGTGTTCTTTTTATTATTCGTTTTGTGATCAAACACACACACACACAAATTCAAGAACTCAAGAACACGATGAACAACTGATGAATCAAATAAATATCTCAAGAACACGATAAACAAACTCATAAGAAGCTCTTGTGTGTGTTCTTGAGTTTGAACAAAAGAAGATGAAGATGAAGATGAAAAATTGATTTTTGGGTTTGAGTTCTTGAGTCTTAAAATCGAACACCCATATGGGTTTATGTTCGAAATTTGTTCAGATCTAAGAAAGAGACAAGATGAGAGAATAGACCCGAGTCCTTGAATTCGCCGGAAAAATCATGAACTCCGAAGACTTGCCGGAGAAGATAACCGGAGCCTCGTTGGAGCTGTCAAACAGGCCGGAAACTAGGTAAACCTCCGATAGCAGGTCATAAAAATGTTTTTGAACAGTTTAACAAGTTCAATGGGAAAATGTGGACAAAAAAAACTTAGTGACTAAATGTGTACAAATCAAAAAATATGTTGCCCTTTTAAGTCATTATCCCATAAAAAACCCGACATAAAATGTCTATAATGACGGGTTTTTTTATGTGGATAAAACCTTGTTTTGTACTCGTGAAAGAATAAATCAAAATATTGATGGAAAAAAAATCAAAAAATATACCAACATAAGTACATTACTTTGACAATTCAATATCTAGCTAATTTGAACCTTTGCTTATGTTATTTGCACTATGAACAGTAATATGAAGAACATGATGATTGAATAATATGTCCCTACCTTTAGTCTGTTATTGCTTTCGTTCACAATCACTTACTTTTTCCCACTTCATCGACTAATTAACAACTCTCCCCCAGTTTTGAGCTAATTATATTTGTTAATTTTGATTGCAATTGGACCTGGATAATATAATTAATGAGCAAATCACTAAAATATATAAGTTGCATCTGCAACATTCGTTTCCAGAAACATGGATCTTGACAAGGTTATTAAAGTAGAATCAAGTTATGCAAATAGAGACCAAAGGAGATTTTGGTCAAAGTAAGAAGTTTCCAACTTGAGCTGGAATTGCTTGTTTTTTAAGAATGACATTAAAAATCCCCTGCCTAGTTTATCATAGGATATCGAACCACTTATTATTGATTTCTCTTCAGGTGTATATCTCTTGTCTACTGCAATTTATGCCATGATGATATTCCATTTAGGTTTGTTGGATTTTTGTCAACATTTCTGTAATTCTATTGTCTTCATGAGTTTTTTTGTATCATAAACATTTAAACAGGGGTAAGATACTAATTTTTCTTCTCTTTTTTATTTAATAAATTATAGAAAAACATCCCTATAGAATCTGAGACTTTGCCAAAGCAAGCGACACATACCAACGTTGTAATCTTATTGAGAATTTTTTAAATATTTATTACTTGAAGTATAATAGGAAATATACGTAAGAATCAAAATGACAAAATCAGTCTTTCACATTTAGAGATTCGTATCGGTAGGATATCGATACCGATCAATTAAGTAATGACTGGATCAAATCAAAGAAAGTACTTGTACAAAAAAAAAGTACAGATTTTAAATGAAATTTAATCAAATCAAATTGCATCACTGAATGGAATAAAATTTAACAATTAATGTATACTTTTCTTGTAAGTTGTAACAAAACTTTAACAAAATTCTGTCTACCATCATGGCCAGTGGTAAAATAGAGTTAAGTTTTTATGCTTGACTCTATTTTACTAATTTGGTTTTTGATTGATTCATATTACTAACCGAATTTTCATCTTTTTTGGAAAATACAGAATTACATAATGTCAAATTATCTATGCGAAGAGTTGATTGTTGAAATCTTCATCAGACTACCACCCAAATCCCTCCTCCGATTTAGATCACTCTCCAAATCATGGTGTTCTATTATTTCTAGCCCCGAATTCATCCATACACACACTTTTCAATCCCCACAAAAATTCCTCATTGTGCATGAAGTTTTTCGGGAAGAAAAATACTTTTATACATTACATTCAGAAGATCAATTGCCATTGTGTCCTAGACGTGGATACATTGGTATACCACCAGTCGAGTTTCCTTATAGATTTCATTCCCATATTAATCGTCCATATAAGCGAATGTTTCCTTACACAAGATCTTTCCATATTGTTGGTTCATGTAATGGAATTGTCTGCATTTTCGACATACACAAAAACATTATTAGTCTTTGGAACCCTTCAGTTAGGCGCAACGTAACACTACAAGGTCCTTCGAACTGCTTAAATTGGGTAACAGCCGGGTTTGGTTTTGACACAATAACTAATGATTACAAGATAGTGAGAATATGTCGCCCCAAAAGTGGAGAATGTGTACGAAGTTCCCATGTTTACACCATGAAAATAGGCACTTGGTGTGCGATTGCTTCCCCAACTCCTTTATTTCGTGATGTGTTATCAAAGGCGTGTTTTGTCAATGGAGTATTGCATTGGATGGTAGAATGTTATGTTTTTGAATTAGATGATGTAGATCGTCGTTATATACTGACATTCGATTTGAACACTCATGTTTTTGGCATGATTGCATTGCCAGAACCTAGTTGCAAAATACAAGGACTATCAGCCATCCAAGGGTATCTAGCTGTGATTTCTACTAAGCATGATAATGCTTGGATTTTGGTGTGGAGAGATGCTTCTTGGTCTGTGTTTCATAAATCGAAAATCAATCTACTTAAAGGAGGATTAATGCGAGTTTTGCTACCGACCAACAATGGTGATTTGTTGTTCAACATTTAATCTCAGCCTCACTTGTTCCAAGTTTATAATCCCAAGATAGAGGCGCAATCAAAACTACTTGATTTCAAAGCTGCTTCTTCGATAATTGACATGGAAATGTATGTCGAAACTTTTCAATTGATATGACATCTTTATGTCTTGATGTTTTGATCATAATCATAGGCGCCTTTTGATTAATCCATGTGACTCGAACATCATATGCGAAATTGTTGGTGACATTATAATGTAACAAACACATTTTCGATGTATCATCTTTTCGTTTTCGGCCTATGGTTCATGCAATTTCTTTCATTTTCATTTTGTGGTACTTATGTTGATAAATCTTCGCATTTTTATCATGATTGGAAGTGAGTATAAATAATATCATAAATAATATCATCAAATAACTGGTTTTGAGTACGTGTTTAAATTATGAATATTTAGGCTCAAAATTATAGGATTTGGAGAAGTGGGGAATTAAGGTTATAAGTAACTAAGTAAGATATATCAATAATTACCTGGCTATCCCTAACAAGACATTACCAATATAACAAAACTCATGCTTTAGAACACATATCGAGGTTTATCGCAACAGATTCCCCTCACTACAACAAGTCAACAATTGCCTAGTATTCAAAACTAACATCATATTTTTATCTAATATTTGAAAATATGGTACTTGATTTTATTAATTAACTAGGTTATAGGATGATAAATTTTAATAAAAGACACTATAAAAAACGTAGTTTTAATCATAAATAACCAAAGTTAGTTAATAACATTGTACTTCAATTATTGTTAATAACATTCTTCTTCTATTTATTTAAACTTTATGTTAATTTTAAAGCAATGAATAGCATTGTAATTTCATTTCTTGTGCATTTTAGCATTCTACTTTCACTTCATGTTTAGAAAAAAGCAAAACCATGTAAAATCTTTTTCTAAAAGATGTAATCCTTCACTTATAATAAAAATATTTTTTTGATTAACATTATATAAAAACATGTAAAAGATGAGTGTATATACAATAGATTTTACATTTTACATTTTATGTTATAATTATATTTTTAAAATATTATATAGGACTCATTAGAATAATGTTATATATTATATAGGACTCGTTAGAATAAGGTTATATATTTATAATAAGCTATAAATAATAAAAGAAGCTATATGTTATGCAATCCTCTAATTAACATAAAGTATTATAAATAAATGGAAAACATTTATTCGTAATCTTTATGAGATAACTATATCCATGTCTATTGTCACATAAAAAAAAGCGAAACTTTTCCTACCTTTTATGCCTACAAATATTTCTATCCACTAAAATTATAACAAGTGTCATCATTCTACCATTCAATTTAATTTTATTTGATATATTTCTAATATTAGGTGTAAGACCCGTGTATTACACTAGTTTATTAAAAAAATATATCAAATTTTGAACATCAATCAATTATTAAAGTAATATTTTTACATACAAGTAAAGAGTTTATTGAATAGGTACGTAAGTGAACCCAAATTACTAAAAATTAATAATTACATATTTAAAATAATTGTTAAAAATCACAAATTCCCAAATACTTCTTTGAAAACAACATTAAATGTCTTGTTGTTAAGGTTACCTTCATTGTCTAAAATTAATATTTGCAATTTGTCTCTGCTTTTAGCTGTAGACAATGCAACATACGATTTCCCATGACTAAACATTGGTTGTCTAAAAAACAAGCCAACATTTGATAGCGACCGTCATTGACTTCTATTGTCATCGCAAAACAAGCAACAAGTGGGAGTTGTCTTCTTTGAAAGGTGAAAGGAATATTTTTATCCGAAGGGGTTAGTGACATTCTTGGAATAAACTTACGATTTCCTATATTAATTTCAGAAATTATCTTTGCATCAATAAGACGCTTACCCAATGTTGTAACTCATAGCCTTGTTCCATTACACAAACCTATTTCTGATCAATATTCCTCAATAACATAATCGAAACACGAAATTTTAATACCAATTTATGAATTGGCAAACCTAAAGGTTTATGGCCATTTAGAACATCAGGCGAGTATAAAGATTCGTCAAAGTCATCGTGTACAAAATCCAAATGACAAAGACTATCTGAACTTAAGTATTCTTTTTCATCTCCTAGAAATAATGATAACAAACGATTGTTTACTTCTTGAATGACTTCATTTTTTGGTGCAAGGATTGCTCTTTCCTGAAAAAACATCGGATTCGTGGCATTTTCAATAGTAGAAGGATAGACAAATGCAATTAATGAACCAATAGGATCTGACGAATCAATAATGACTAATCAAAGAATTATAAACACAATTATGCGAGTTTGAGGAAGTCATTTAATAGCATCCAACTTTTCTATCTTTACCCAAAAATACCAACTAACATATGTATGACTTTAAATTTACAATTAGCATATTTAAGAAATACCACCACAGTTCAGACTCAGAAAATGCAATAGATCTTGGATACATTCGGACGGTGCACCCGTAGTGAGAGTCAACAAAACAAAACAAGAAAAAAAATTCAAAACTATGATGCACCCATGGTTCATATGTACTTATAGTTGATATTTAAACCTTCAACTTCAACAGATTGTACATCCGTGTGCCATATGGACTTATTTAGAGAAAATAAAAATAGAGTAATAGTTAGTAATAACAATCCTATATTTTCCAAAAGCCACTTTTTTAGAATTAATTGCTAAATTCAAACAGGGTATATGTTTTGGGTGCCATAACAACATTGAAAAAAGAAAAGGAAAGGAGTACAAATTGTACCCTCTTCCATGTTTTTTATTAACAAAAACTTTAGAGAATGTAATTTCAAGCATAACAAATAAAGATATATAACAATTTTTTGAACCAATAAAAAAATCTCAAGCAACTTTTATTAAGACATGAAAATTTTAACAACTTAAAGCCAACGCATCTTATTTATTTATCAGACATGAAGGATTACAAAGATAAACTGTCTATCCTAATATGCAACTGTATAACCCAAGCAGTACCCAAAGATACTCAATAGTATAATCAATGCTAAGTGTTCCAGCTAGAAATTCAATAAAAAAAGAGCAAAAAACTTCAACTTAAAGTTAATGTTATATGATAATATCACATGTGTATTTAATTACGTAATACTTATGGAGTGGTGTAACTAAATTAAAGCAAGTTGACACACATGAAGTTATATCAGCTATAAAAAAGTATGTTCCATCGTCTAACAATAATAGTCCAATTGGTCTTAGATTATTTTGGATGAACAACTTATGATATAACCGTATGAAACACTGACGTAAATTTGGTTCAAGAGGATATCCATATGTAGCCTGAGTGAATCACCTCTCTAAGCACTTCTCTTCATGTTAACAATAATAATAACAATCATAATCACAATCACAATCACAATCACAATCACAATAACAATCACAATTACAATTACAATCACAATCACAATCACGATCACGATCACAATCACAAGCACAATCACAATCACAATAACAATAACAATAACAATAACAATAACAATAACAATAACAATAACAATAACAATAGCAATAACAATAGCAATAGCAATAGAAATAGCAATAGCAATAGCAATAGCAATAGCAATAGCAATAACAATAGCAATACCAATAGCAATAGCAATATTAACAACAAAAGCAATAACAATAACAATAACAATATAGGAACTATGTAATAGTTTCAAGGGCAGGTACCCGGTCCCAGTGCTCAACCCTAGTTATAACTATATAAAAAACGTAACCATTCAACTATAACTCATGTGGCATACCAACGTTCTACTCCCTTCCCCGTTTGATTTAACCTTATTTGTTTATGTTGATTTGTTATTGGGACATGCATCTACTCTAATGTTCTACTCCCTTCCCCATTTGATTTAGTTACTTACCTATGCATTTGGTACGCTTTGATAGGATTAACTTTGGATATATCTTGGATGTACCTTGCATCTAGATCTATTGAATCTTTCATAATAGGGGTTTAATTTTTTTGAATTTTGCATTTGAGAAATCAAGTGTTGATGATGGAAAGATATTATGCTCGTGTTCGCATTGTCTAAATATGTTGTATTCAACAAGAGGAGACATTGTTGACCATCTTAATGATAACATCTTCAAATATGATGGAAATGGAGGAAGAAGTGATATTTCACCATGACATGCATGGATTGTTGAATGACCTTGTTGACAGAAACCAAGTACAAAAAGTATGGCTAACGTGAATAATGGTCAAGACTCTGACAATTTAAGAAGTAATTTTCTTGATATATTCAAGGAAGCCGGAGAAAATGTGTATCCAAATTCCAAATACATTAAATTACCATCTTTAGTGCATATATACCATCTGAAGTGTCTTAATGGGTGAAGTACCAACTCTTTTTCCATGTTGCTAGAGTTTTTAACAGATTTATCACAATAAAGAAACTTGTTGCCTAAAATAACCCAAGAAGTGAAAAAAGTGATGAATAGATTAGGTCTTGAACTCTTTGCCAAGTTGTTATGATCAGTTCGTTTTAGCTTATCAATTGAATAACACAGAAACCACATTTTCCCAAATCCATAACTTGCTATAGACTGCTGAGACGGGAATGAAGAGAAAGAATCAAGCCTCTCCTACTAATGCTCCCATTCTCCCCATTAGGTGAAACAAAGGGAAGAAAAGGAAGGCACTCCTAAAGCTAACTGGAATGGCAAGGCCCATGTTGGGTCATCTAGCAATTGCTTACAAGCGAAGCCCAATTCAGACATTCTAGTTGTTAGTTATCCAAAGAGGCCACTTGCTACTATTGCAATGATAAGGGCCATTAGAAGCGGAGCTTCCCCAAGTACTTGCAAGACATCAAGGATGGAAAGTTGAAGCCATTGTCAGCAGGTATATGCAGTATTCAAACTAATATCTCATAATCTACTCGTTCTTGGGTCCTTGATACATGATGTGGTTTATCCATTTGTTATAATTTGTAGGGACTAAAAGAAAGTGAAA